TAAATATAAGTTATTAGTGTATTTTTTAATTTTTTAATGTTCAAGCGTTGCCATTTTATTTATAATCTTTCAGTTATAAAAAAAATATATTTCAGTCAACACCGATGTGAAGCTTGTTGGGTCAAATAATTATATCCTACAACTATAAATTCAGCTGTTTAAATGAAATTTGCCTTTATCAATTCTTTTTATTGTATGAATCTTCTATGCTTTATTTATTCTGTGAACCAATGTCGAACGATTATAAATATATATTATGTTTTATTATTGTTATAAAGAGTTAAATGTTTAATTTTTTTTTTAATTTTTTTAATTAAAATTAATTTAAAGAGGGAGCGTATTACCTATAAATTATTATATATACTTAAGATGAAAATTATAAATAAAAATTTGATTAATATACACAAAATCCTTTCATATTTTTAATAATATATAATCTTATTAAATGATTATCTTCATCTTAACTTATCTTAATTTATCTTTTGAGGATGTTCAATCTCATGGATTGGGGTATATTTTAAGCCACTTTACCTCTTTGTAATCAACAACATTTTTTTCTTATTTACGGAATGTATTAAGAATTTATAAGTATTGAGTCACATGAATTGCTGATATAATCGACCAATATAATGGAAGAATATAACTGAGAATATTACAAGACTGAAAGCATTACATTCTTGCGACAGAAGATAGGTATGCAGGAATACAACACTTTGCGTACTATGTATAATCTGTAGAAATTGTATCTACCCATTTTATTAATTTTGTTAAATTTGCGTTCTCTACATGTATACACTGAGGATGACCCAATAATAAAGTCGAAACGTTCTAAGAATTTGAAATACATAAAAATCTGGCTTGTAGCCCCTTGTTATTTATTGTTTATTATTGAGCCTATAATATATAAGATCATTTTTATTTTATTATTCTATCATAATAGTGTCCAAAATTTATAATAATTTAAACAAAAAGATATAACTAATTTCGCTCTACTCTATACATGATGATATAAGAATTTATATAAATAATAATATGATTTTATACTATAAATATTTCTATAAATACTTCTTGATTATTTTATATGTTAAGGAGTATATAAGGAGAATAGTATTTTGTAACTCTTAACGACTGTAACAATATTGTACAATTATATTCTAAAAACATGAGCGAAACGCATATCTTATCTACAGTATAATAAGTACTATTCATTAGGTCGCCTTCAATTTAGCTTAGTGTTTTATTTAGATTTGGGATGTAGAATCACATAAAAAAGGAATGATATGCTGAGTGAATTATTCCAAGCTATAGTGAATTATTATTTTTTTCAGTGAAAATCAGAAAAATCTGTAAATTCTCTGCATGTAAGCCATGAATTGAGTGAACATTATCATTGATTTTGGTCTTTTTCGTCCTTATTATCATGATCTTAAGAGAAAAATTTCATTTTTTATTGAACGTATTCTTCATATAAATTTTATATCAATAAATAATAGATAAATAAAACAGATGATTTATTAAAGTCATCATTTCCATCTTCTTTTTTGTCTTTGATTTTTATCAAAATTACCAGTGAATCATCTAAAAAAATTGCATATTATAGGTTTGTTCGCGTCGCATTCTCCAACATGCTTCTATAAGTTTCTATAATTACTTACTCCGTCGCGCTGGATATATATATACGAAGAATACTTTGATATTCAATAAAAAAATGAAATTTTTGTTTTAAAATCACGATAAAAAGGATGAAAAAAGACCAAAATTGATGGTTCGCTCAATTTATGGCTTATATGAGGATTTATATATTTTCCAATTTTCACTGAAAAATAACAATTCACCATAAAGATGCAATTTCATGCAACGAAGGAAAGCGTTGAACAATTAACACGTTGAACAGTTGGACAACATTGAACAATGATAACATTTGACAACGTTGAACAACATTGGACACGTTGAACAATTAACACATTGTTTTAACACATTTAACAATTAACAGTTAACACGTTGAATAATTCAACGCATAATTCATTTTCTACGTGATTCTACATTACAAATACTAACCAAAAACCGTTACATGAACCAAATTGAATTTTTTATTCAAATACTATCAATTTTACAGAAAAATTGCAAGAGACAAAAATCATTTTTTTTTTCATAGAACTCTAAGAATTTTTTTGAAATTTTTTATTAACTTTTTAGTACTGCATTTTCTTATTTTTACTAACATGAGAAAATATGATATTAAAAAATTTGGAAAAAATTCTCAGAATTTTATGAGAAGAAAATAAATGATTTTTGTCTCTTGCAGCTTTTCTATAAAGTTGATAGAATTTGAATAAAAAAATTATTCAATTTAGCAATTTTTAGTAATTATTAATATCTTGTTAACTATTGCGAAAATTGCAAAATGATAGAGGACTTTTCGACTCAGTTTAGTCCGCTCTATCTACACAAAAGCAATTGACAAAAACACTCTGTACAGTGTTATTAGTAAATGATCAACAAATAATTAACTTATCAAAGAAGACTTAATTATTAAATAATAAATATTATGCTTAAAAGTTAGAATAATTTGGAAGTATATGTTTTTATTTAAAAAATATATATTTTGTACATGTACAAAACTCTAGTTTTTAACAGACTATTCAATTCTATCGTTACTATATGCTATATTTACTACAATCTTGTCACGCATTTATTACAGGATTTTTTCAGCATTTTTTGTCACGCAAATAGCCACGTAACTTATATACATATTTATTGAAGACACATATTGCATAACTTGTTATTCTTCGATTTCTCCAATAATTTTAATGTTATTAATATATCAAAGTATCCAAAGTTATTGCATTATATACATGGATTTCAAGATTTATTGCAAAATATTTCAATAAAATATTTATAAATAGTTTCTAAAACACCAACATTTTTGTATTGGAATATTTAAGAAAGAAAAACGTAAACACATACCATTTACATAAAGAAAGAAATTTAATTAGGAAACAAAATGTTATAAACATTATACATCGTGAAAGCGTATATTTGTACACGTGGGTTACAGCGAATTGCATTTTTGTTAATCGCTACACTAAAACCAGTTTGATTGCAAAAGGTCGATGCGTGAAAGGCGGAGAATCGGGAAACCTTTCTTTTCGCGAAATACATTAATTCAACTTTGCGAAGTGCTAGCGGCGTAAAATTATTCGCAAAAATTATATTGCACATTGCAATATTATATTGTCTCGCTGCTATCTGTAACGATCCTCATACACTATAGTATTACCAAGAATACATGTTGTATAGTCCGCAAGTACACATTATATCACCAACGCAGTCGGTTACTTATTTTTCACGAATAGTAATTTATTATAATTAGACTGAAAAATATGATTGGAGTGAAAATTAGTTTTTCAAATCATAAAATGATTTAATAGGTTTGTTGTTTTACAAACCGATAATACTAGAAATATAAAACATATATATATACACTAATATTTATAGATATTTATTGAATTATTAATGATTGAAGAAGGAAAGTTTTATATTAGAAAAAGCAAAAGCTAAATGTTTCAAAAGAATAAATAGATAACAAAATTATATTGTTCGATTAACTTAAAATGAACTTTTCTTTCGTCGAATTTTATTTCCACTGTAAAAATATCTAATATTAAAACGTGATAAATAATGATCTTTTCCGACGTTGTACGTGTTGCTAAGGAAATACTTATATATTCAAATTCATCGTAAAAGAATCCGTTATTAAAATTGCGGTATCTAGATATATGGCATCGTAAAATTGTCTATTTTGATTAATAACATTTTGATATCTCGTCTCACATCGCAGGCGCTGCAATATAGAAGCGCGTGATGACCCATCGGAATATCCTACGTTAAGACAAATAAAGGCAAACGAGTCGACGGCGTTCGAATACAAAATTATCTGCGGGAATCATAACCGCGAGTTTTTACTTGAAGCTATTGGTAATCCCCGCTTGCAGAGAAAAAAAAAATAAAATGACTATTAAACTGCCTGAGGTATAGTCCGCGCAACGAACGTTATATACTAACTAAAGCCTTCGCATATTTCGATGATTACATAGTAAACATATGGACGAAGTATACAGAATGTGGCATATAGGTGATTAATTCTGCCTGTCAGAATGCAGGCTTCTCCATAAATAATACTATTTACTCCACGCCATATGCTTTTTCCACGAGGAGAAGGACTGATTTTCTTACGCTAATATCGCGACGGTATAATCGTGACGGTATAATCAATCCCAATGTCGCAGATTCTAAAGAAGAGAACTCGACAACGGATAATTAAGGAAGAATCCGAGCCTAGATTTGATATGATTGTGCATTTTCCACATAACACTTTATCTTCCGGTATGAGCGATCTTCGACGACTCGTCATCGCTTGACAATTCGCAACGTTCGACGGATTTCGTTGCAATCGTCTTATCATCATTCTACAAAGACAGAAAAAATTCAAACGTCATTGGCCGCAACATTGATACTGTCTCATATCTTAGCGTGAGTACGTGAGAGATGAATTGAATCGCGCATCACCTGCACATAGTCACACAATCACAGTAGATAGATGGATACGCGTGGGAGGCCACACGATCGGTTATTATTTCGCAGAGATATGGCTCGAAGATAATTAATACTATTGTTATGATTCAGACAGGTACGTCATGTCCGTACTTTGACTAGGCGATCTTTCAGTCTTCGATCGGAGCTTTGGGGCTCTGCAGGTTCGCAGCCGCTCCGTACGTGGAGTACGTGCAGGTATAGACTGCACGTAACATGACCCACATGCATGTTTCGCCGACGCTTTCAATATATCCTACGTCTTGAGAGATAACAATAACGTGTCAGCGCTCGTGGTCAGCGGACAGCGATATAACGACGTGATAGGCGCATGAACATAATGCACTTGACTATTGCGATAACGCGACAATAATGTATAGTCGCCACGGTGTCGGAAAGAATTTATAATCCAAACGATTATGTGATCGCATGTAAAACTTTGTGCGAACAGTACTTGGAAGTGAATTGCATGTGCAGTGTAATATATCTTGATACACCTGCATGCCTTTAAAGTATCCAATCGAATCGCTTAATATACATATATATCTCGTTCAAAAAGTGATAGTCACGATGCGTCGAATGCGTAAACACTTGAAGAAATAGTCGTGGGATTTCCTCTATTGTACAATACAACTCTACTGCCACGGGAAGAGCCGTATACGTATATAGTAAGATGAGCGCTTTCGTTGACAGCATCCAAGACGAGAAAACGCCGAGTGTCGTAGGTCATGCGAGATTAAATGCGAGTACCTCGCTCAGCGATATAGGAGAGGACGTGAGAGGTAGCAAATTTAACAAATCGACTCAGAGCGATATCTCGTGGAGGCTCCCTTGCGCTGGAGATAATAGACAGAGATCTAGACCGATGTCCCTAGCATATTTGCCGACCAAGATTCCGAAACAGATGAGCGAATTGAGCTTCTCCACGAATAGCTCCAGAAGCACGTTATATCCTGTTCAGAGCGAGTTGGTTTTATCATCGAGAAATAGGCACAATAACAATAGATACGTGTCTCTGGACATGAGATCAATGAATAATCTTCCGTATCCTAGTCCGCACTCCAACATTTTAGGCAATAGTACACCGGTGTACACGTGTTGCTGTACATGTGCAGGATCGCAGATCTCGTCGCCGCCGCCGCCGCCGCCGCCGGCATCGTTCTCACAAAATGAAAATGACGATCAGGATGGGCCCGAGAACCTTTCGTGGAGGAGACTTCACATGAGCAGAGCGAAGCTAAAAGCAACTGCAACTACATCTGAACTTCTTAGTGGATTCGCAATGGTAAGCGTAATAGTAAGATTACATTATACATCCATATTATACATTACGTTAAAATGCAAAAAGATTTTATCTTCTAGTCTACAAAATAAATGATTTTTACAGCTTTTTTGCAAACTTAAAAATCAAATCTTCATAACGGTTCTTTTTTATTTATTGCGTTAAAAGTAATCACTCCTGAATAGTTACCTCAGCCATATTGAATCGTGACGTCATGAGCGAGAAATAACACTACGTGACTTGACTTTTCTCGCATGCCATTTGTAAATAAAGAGAATCTGATTCGGATGAAATGAAATGATGAGATCGCTTTAAAACACTTGTAAAAATAAATCGAGACTATCCTTACCTTCCCTGTGAAAGTCAGTAAATAGTCAAAAGAAAATAGACTATGCATATGCGTATGATTGAGTAAAAACTAGTAGATGTACTTTACGACTATTTACTAGAAGTAAAGATATAGTCTCAGCCCATTTTTACAAGTATTTTAAAGCGCTCTCAATATTTTGTTTCATCCAAATTCTCTCTATTTACTCTACTTTCTATTTTAGCATGCAAGAAAAATCAACGTAGTGTCGTTTCTCGTTTATGACATCATGATTCAATATGGCTGATGTGAGTACCCAGGAATCTTGTAAATCAGAATATTTCAATTGTTGATTAGCATCGAAATACAATAATCAATAATAATATCGAAAATGTAAAATAATTTTACTTTATGATGCCCATGATTATTTCTCAGTGTTATTTGATATAACTGTATTACACTCATAAAAGTAACAAAATGGCACTTTAAAGAAAAATTCGCATTTTTGCTTTAACAAAAATTTAAATTTTGAATTAAATTAAACGTAAGATTGGGAGATGGAAAAATATTTACACTAGATAAAGTTTGGAATAGATCAAACAATTTGGTTTTGAGATATCATACAGTCAGTTCTGAGTACGAATTTTTTTCATACTTATATATTTAGTTATTCCAAGGATATCATATATTTTTCTTTATATGTATCTGATATTTTTTTTCTTCCTCTTCTGATCTCTCTTGTTTCGATTCTGATCTTAATCACATCACTTTTGTAGTCATTTGATTATCAACTTTGTTAATTTTGTGAATGTCACCAAAATATTTTAAAAATATAATTTTTAGGAAAAAACTGAAAAAAAATACAAGAAGATAAATAAAGTTTAAGAAATTTTTTTAAATTGTGTACATAACAAAATTCCTTTTCTTTATTCTTGAAATTGCTATATTTTTATGATATAATTTTTTGTAAATATCTTTAGGATTTGTATTAGCAACGTAGAAAGATCTCAACGTATTATACTAAATTATATTAAAATTAACATACTTAGTGCGATTTACATGAATTAAACAATATACAATGTAACAAAAATTAAATAAAATTTTACTTCAAATATATTTTAAAAAATGTAAATATTTACTAATTGTTAATCTATATCTAGTTTTTAACACACACACACACACACACACAGAGATATATATGTACATACGTTACATCGTTTTTACTTCACTTCAAGCTCAGAGCTCAGAGTTTCTAAATATTTTTTATATTTATAAACATTCTTTTATTTATACGAAAAATTTTAATTAAATTAAATAAATAAAATTAAATGTGTTTTATGTTGTATTTTTCATGCAATTAATTTGATTCAATGATTGAATTAATGGCGGTTTAATTAACTTTCCTTATTTATATGTAACTAGCAGCAAATATTTATGAGTTATGATATTTTGAAAATCATTTAAATAAAACTGTTTTCCTGGAAATCTCTAACTCAGATCGGGCTGTACGCGATTACACAACATTTCCTGAAAATGGTTAAATTGACGTCGACGACAATTCTATGTAATCTTCATGCACATCTGTGGTTATATAAGGCAGATATCACTTTCTTTATATCGCTTTACTTCTCGCGATACACCTAATATCTTCTAACATTGCAGACGATTGTAGCAAACCATATGTATTTCACTATTTTTTTTCTGATATTTTAGGTGGCAATGGTGGAACTACAAATAAATGAACCGACGGCGGTTCCGGAATGGCTGTTTGTAATGTTTGCCGTTTGTACCACTTTCTTGGTATCGGTGCACATCTTTGCACTGATGATCAGCACGTATCTTTTACCCAATATCGAAGCCATAAGTAAGCTTCAAGTTTCACGACTCATAACGGAGTCACCCCACGAAAGGATGCGCGGTTTCATCGAATTGGCTTGGGCATTTTCCACGATACTCGGACTGTTTCTCTTTCTAGTAGAGGTGGCTATTCTCTGCTGGGTCAAGTTCTGGGACTATTCCTTTACAGCTGCCACTGCCAGCACCATAATAGTCATCCCCGTGCTCATAGTATTCGTCGCTTTCGCTGTCCATTTTTATCACTCTTTGGTAGTTTACAAATGTGAAAGTGTGGTATCAGATATGAAGGATTTAGAGAGCATAAAAAGGAATTTGGACAACGTGACGATAGGGCAAACTAATGTATAAGTTCGAGACAATAATACAACCTGTAATATATTATGTGTACAAATGATTATCCTAAATGAAAAAGAATGCATTAAAGTTAGGCTGATAGATAAGAATATCGAATAATGCTTCTATTGGAGTATAAATTAATTTGTGACAGGCAGGAATACTCAGGTTTAAAATAGGTGCTATTATTCAATTAAAATATATCTTTAATGAGAATGACATAAAAAAAAGAACACTATGTGTGGATTTGTTATCAATAACTTTACTTTTCAAACGCGACCATATGAAAATGGCCAAGTTTTATTATATATAAAAATGTACATAGCTGTACACATGCAAGTCGAGAATTGCAACAGTACAAGCGAGTGCTCTTTAGTATATTACCTATATAATATCCAGCATTTAATAATATCTGTGTATACGGTTTAACTCTTGATTTTTATTTAAACCTGTTCCTTGATCATTCTATTACTATCATATGTCATATGTCGCTAATATACATATATAGTATCTGTTATTACCGCGACACTTAGTTTGCGGAAAAAAACTGAAGGATAATTGAGTACTCATTTTATGTACATTTCCTGAAATTTACATAATTTTTCTAGTCAATAAATAAATCGTCAAAGTTTAGGATGTCCGGCGAAAAATTTGGTTTCTTACTCTAATGTTAGGAAAAAAATAAAGATATAATTAATATATCTCTCGTTTTTATCATAAACTAAGTTGTAATCTTACTATAAACGGTTTCTATAATATTATGCCTTAACTTCTTTTATATAATACAAAAACACTCGATCGAAGGAGTCGTTGTAAGCAAAACGAGGAAATATAATTACTTTAGTACAACAAAAGTATTATGTGATACCTGTTGTTATAAATTACAAATTGTATTGCACTAATCTATGTCCGAAAACTTGAACGGTTTCTTAAAGATACATGCTACATCGTATTGAAAATTCATTGCATTCGATTATTTTTGCTTAATAAGCAAAATCTCAAATTTATAGAGGCATTACGCAGATCTTATTGTAAAATTTGCCTCTTGAAAACCATTATTGTATATACATTGGAAGAGAAATAAATCAAAACCTACATTACAGAAATATAAATGTCATGTTGTAATATATAACTTGATAAAAAAGAGAAAAAATACTGTTGAGAGATAAATTGATGATTTGAGCATTAGCCATTGTTGAAAACTACTTTTTAAGAAATTATATTCTAAATTGATTAAAATCAATTTTACAAACGTATCTTTGTAACTTTCTGATGAAATAAGTGGAAGTAATTAAAATATATTTTATTACTTATTTTACTGATTTGTAATTATTATAAAGTATAAAAAAATGATTCGATTGATGTATATGTAATAATGGAGAATAAACTGCTTGTGCTATGGACAGGTAAATGAAGAATGAGATAATATTCAAAACAATTGTTCCAAAAAAGTAACAAGATGATATTAGAAATGTCTTCTTTTTAAAGGATAAAATTCAAATTCTGTTTTTCTGTTTTTAAATTTACTTCAAAATACCAAATAATTCATATATCTTCTCTTTTTATATTATATTTTCTATCGGCCAAAAAAAATATTTTTAAAAAACTTGTGATGATAGAATAATGTTTGATCCGAATGTTAAATCCGAAGAATCGTTAATTATGAACTATTATTCTGACATACATATAATTTAATAATTCGCTGATTATAATGATATAAAAAATGATCAGGCAATCGTTAAATATATGATTAATCTGTGATTATGAATTTTAACTTATTATAAGAAATAGTATAAGAGCAGTTGTAGTTCCATCTTTTTTACACACACATACATACACACACATACATACATACATACAAACATCATACATACATACATACATACATGCATATATATATATATATATATATATATATATATATAGTATATTATTCTATCAGAATATATTATGTTATTTTTCATTAATCTCTATGATATTGATCTAAGAGAATGATAGAATAGAAAAACTTGTTTATCTCTTTCAGAAGAGTTACTTAATAAATTGGCTTTCGTCATATTATCTTCAGTCTTGTCCTTAAATAAACATATCAAGTCTTTCTGACAGCCTATCCATAGCAAGAGCTTGTTTAGAAAGTCTTTATTTAAACAAACCTTCCTGTAATTAACTTTAACAACGCAATTTCGCGCTTTTTTCTTCTACTTACACGTGGAGAATGACAATAAACTCTACTTCCGAAATAGACTTGTTAACAAACAAATAGCAAAACAAAACATAGTATCGAAAAGCGTGCCATTAATTATCGCAAATCGCAAAACTTTGTGCCCCCTTAAAAATTTACGAAAATGATAATAAATATATACAATTATTTTTAGTATTATTACTTTGCTCAGCGTTAAACCAACTTTAAAACAAAGTCACAACCTACACGTATATGTGTATTGGATTCTTATCTAAATATTTAAACAGTTTATAAATCATTCTATTCATAGCTACACATTCGCAAGTAATTCGATTCTGGTTGAGTATAGACAGTATAGTGGATCAAAATAGTATTCTGTGATCAATCTTTCTAATCATTTGTAATTGAATGTTATGGGAATAATATTTAGTTCTCTATGTTTTGTTCGATTAAAAGTAAATATTTCGAGAATATATTATTTCTTACGAAGACTCTACAGTATAAGTAAAAGATCTTCCTTTGTTCGTTAAATTAATCATATGATACATAGAGTTTTTAACTATTATTTAGTTCGAAATGACGATAATTATCGGTTGCGATTATCTACTGTGCATAATGTCTATCCATATACTCAACATCAAGTTAAGACACAGAAAGAATGCCAAAAAAAATATATATATATATATACATACATACATATACATATATATATATATGTGTGTGTGTGTGTGTGTGTGTGTGTGTGTGTCATTTGGCATTCTTGAAATATTCTCAGAGATCTCCTCGTCCTCTATTATTTCGGTAAAAAGTTCTTTGCACCGCTAACATTATATTCGTGACATTATATTACATTTAAATTATTTATGCGGTATGTAATGTATTTTTATACATGTATTTTTGAATCGCAAATAATTATATTGATCCTTAAATCTGATTTATTCTCTGTATGTCATACTGACTTTGAAAAGAATGCGAATGAATTGCGCACATGCGTATATGTGTAGAAAAAATTACTTACATTAAATGACGTTGATGAAAATAACTATGAAATTATATGAGGGTGAATTTCATGCAAGAATCTTCTCCAATATAACATAATATACAAAGACCCATGACTCTTGTCAAATGTCCATATATTTAGATCCATGACTCTTGTCAAACGTCCATATGTGTAGAAGGTTGTTGAGATATGAATGGTTCACTCCACATCCGACGTAAATCTCCCTGAAAGTAAACAATTAATACACATAATCTTATGTATTTTATTTTGTACATCATTTTGTGACATATATACATTTATTCATAAAACAAAGTATTGCTAAGGATCTAATTTTTCATAATTGTGATAAAATTCGACATAATTTTTTAAATTATTTTTTAGCGTAATTAAATTACATAACGTTTATAACGAATATTACATAACGTTTACCTTCATTTATATATTTTTTTCGATATAGAGAACCAATTTTTCTTAAGAAAAAGTAAAGAGAATATATATCCTTTACAAGCTTCCACAATTTGTTTAACATTAAATATCTATATATAATTAATTCTTAAATCATAACTACAATAAAATATTGTTTTGCAATTAACAAAAAATATATCTTATCATCCATTTACTTTTTGTAACTTTGTTAAAAAAAAATTCCTATTTTTAATTTTTTTTAGATTTTATTAGTTTTAATAATTAAATTTCAAATTGTAAATACCAAGAATAGAATTTATAAAAATACTTCTTTTATTTAAAGTAATTTTCCAAACAATTTATCAAAGCTTTTTACTTTTATCTTAAAAATCAAAATCTTTTGTATATATGTCACATTAGATTATATAAGAAACATAACGGTACCTTCAAATACGCCATTGTGAGCAGCGGCAACAAAGTGAAGGGCACAAGGTACAGTAAGGCAGGCTGTGCAGCTTTGAACACCTCAGAGCTTACAGTGGCGGTGAGTAGACCAAGAAAATAACCAATCAAAGAGCAATGAAAATAACTAATTCGACTGAAGTGGCGCGGTGGTGGTACTCCAGTTTCACAGCCGCCGGGCAATAGCTGAGTCTTTTTGTATGCGTCATATCGCAGAACAAAACAGAGCAATAGACCCGGCATGACAATATCGCCGAGGCCCAACATTGAAAAATGTCCCGCTTGATGTATCGATGGAAAAACTAATTTTCCAGGTAAAGGTAATTTCGGCGCAGCTCTCGCCACACCGCCTAAGTGTAATCTTCTAGCCACGAGACTTACTGGATTATCTGCAGGCCTAGTTGCTACCTATGATAGTAATAAGAAAAACAAATTATATATATTTTATTATTATTATTACATATATAATATTCTGTGCCGAAAATAATCTCTAATAGACACATTGTACAATTCCGTTTATTACTCTTATCTTGCAATGCATCATCATAAAAAAAATACTGTATGCAAAATGACATTATAAATTTATTTGAAAAGAATACAATATCTTCTTTATCGTAAATCATGTTTTAATAAGATTTAACATTTAACAAAACTTACCTTAACCATTACGTTTGTGCTGAATATGTAGGACGAAAAGAAAACCCAGAAGACATCATAAATCAGCAGTCCGGTTAATAACAATGTGGATACCTTGAGACTAGGTAGTCGAACAAATGCAATAAACGCCACGCACAGGCCCATACCCATTGCATCCATCAGCAGCCAATGTCCAGTTAAAACCCAGATGCATACTATACTCACACTGAGCGAAAATGAGAGTAATTCCGCACCCGTAAATCTCCCACAGACACCGAAAGATATTTTGTTACCATCAGAACACGGTCTAATGATATACTGACACATGGGCAATAACAGAAACGCCAATGCAACTGTAGCTATAACTGCAAAAAAAACAATATAATTTATGATGACGTAGACCCATACCAAATGCTTTACATCGTTGGGTGCTTTCCAATTGTCAAAAATCATTAGACATTTTTGTGCACACAGTGACACAAGTTGTGTTTCAATTACCATAATCGTTGACACAATACTACACATCCAATATAGTATTCAGCTCGAGAACTAGTCGGCTGAGTAAGCTTGTCATTTTTAGCGATAATTACATGTTACTAATCGTAGTAGTTATAAATGAGACTGGAAGTCTCAGGACCTCTGAACTGGAGAAGCTGAATGGCCAGTATTTTCGCTTTTTTCATTCTATACAGGCAGAAAAACCTATATTTACTCTAATTTTATCTGAAACTGTGCACAATGTACACATTCTGTTCCAATAGAATCGTGCACAATGCTTTGTGAATTCTTGTGTACGTTTGTATTAAGATATATCAAGCAATTGAAAAGCACCCAAATATAATAATGCTTATTCCAAGTTAAATTTGTTACCAAACGTACTGGCAGTACAAATTGCAAGAAGCATCTGCATACTGTCAAAAAAGAAAAACATGATGAGTAGAGAAATGGAAGCACCGAGAGGTAGACAGAGAGCATGCATCGTATCGAGAGTTTGAACTCTTCCTCCATTAATGCAGTCCGGATTACCGGCGCTACTATTACTAGTAATCCCAGTCAATAAATTACTACGTCCATGTTTAGAGATCGGAAACTACCGTAAACTATCAATAGAATTGATATTAGGAAAGTGGATATCCTGGATGAATCCATTATAGAATAAGCCCTGTAACGAGTCATAATAATATGATTGATATGTAACTAGCAAAAAGAATTATATATGTGTATATATATATATAATTCTTTATATATATATATCAATGAAAGATAAGACATGCACTAACCACTGGTAGTCAACTTGATACGTGGCCATGTTTAAGAATGCCTGGCCTCAGCACTCAAGCGCTATGCTGCAATACCTCCTGACATTTAGATGTCCGTTGTTCAAGTGCTTTTTACTTGCACTAACCTATATCAGAGATCATCTGCTACTAGAAAAGGAAGAGATTGAACAGCGTTAATTCTGACTGATCAATCTACGTTCATTATGGCAAGGCTGTCAAAGAACTGAAATCGCAAACACGCACGAAGCATACCTGGTATTCCTCGAGTACATTATTGACGAATGGAATTAGGCCTGTGGAAGCCTCGGGTCACCACCTTAGCGGCGCAATGTAAGGAAATAAAAAAGATTCTAGCGTGAGGATTCTTACAGTGCGGACGGTGAGTGGATCGAGGACAAGCTCGGTGCAGCGAGACGAATCAACTCAATCAACGACATCGCGAAAAACTTGGTCTAGCGTAATACCATCGCGCGGCTAGGAGGCGATCGTCGTAGCGTGACTGCCTCCGCGTCGAATTCTGGCATCTCTCGCGATCGCATCCACTTTCCAACTTTCGCCCGTAAAGATGCGCTGCGTCTGCGTGCGTGGCGTAGTGGCGAAATTGAACGCCAGCCGAAAAGAATGCAAACGAGAAACGGGGCCGACAACGGAGATAATCGACGACGCGTACGGATTGACTCGTCCAGGACGCGACGGGATGGGACACGACTGGACGCGACGCGCGACGCCACGGCCGTGTCGAGACGATTGGAACGCCGAAGCACGAAGCACTGCGTGCGCGCTCGCTCTCGCTCTCTCTCTCTCTCTCTCTCTCTCTCTCTCTCTCCCTTCGCTCCGCGCACGTAGCGTAGCACAGCTGATCGCAGCTATTTACGCAACCGAGCGCCGCGCGGCCGCTCCCGTGCGAACGGAACGGAGTGCCGTTCGTATCGCACTATGGACGTTCACCATTTTGGTAAACACTTGGGTCACGTGATCCCCCGCTGGACCTGGCTGGCCCCGCTGACCCCCAAGAGATTTGCTACTCCCTTTACTCCAGAAAATCGCTCGCGCTCGCGCTCGCCGCTCAGCGCTCGACGCTCGCCTCGCGACCGAAATCTCTTCTCACGCCTGCACGACACGCGACGCGACTCTCGCCTGGGAGATCCGAAGTCTGGGCCGGCCGCAGAACTTCACATCACCTCATCGGCCTACCGTGAGCGGTCGTACAAGCGACACGAAAACGGGACCGTAGTAAGTACGACACGCTGAGCTGAGTGAGTATCTATCGGCGGCGCGCGGTCGCGGTTACGACGTCACGACCACCGGACACCGCACTCTACACTCAACTCTACTCGCTTTACCGCCGACCGCGGACCGCGGTGAGATTGAATGATATTGGTGAGAAATTGAAAACTGTTGAGAACTACTGCGCGCGGGTCAACCACTGCTCGAGCTCGAGCGAGCGCAAGTCTGCCTGTCTGCCGCAAGCACGTCTACCGGGTGTTTAGAAAACCCGTCGTGTACGTCTTACAAGCGTACGATTGCGAAAGATAGCGGCCAATTCATTCGATACTTATGGAAAAACGAAAACGTTTCAATTACTTATTTTTTTGCAGCTTTCATTACCGAAATATTTAAGCACTAAGATATCCGCTTATTCCTTAATTATCTCATTTATTCTCATACAACGGTCTAATTAAGAATTATTATTATTATTTATATATAATACACTTTTTTTTGAAAAACGACGTTTTTTTTTTTTAGTAGTTATTAGTTATATTATGACAAATATTGCCGAAGCTTTAAAGTGATCGAATTTTCGCACCTTAATTTCGTATTATATCCTTTCTTTCTATTTTAAGAATGTCTAAATTTATAAAGCTCAATTTAGATGAGTTACAGTGTGATAGAAACTAAAGACGTTTAATTTTTTATTATGCGTATGTATTTTAATATTGTATATATTTTATGGCCCATGTTCAGAAACGCGTTTACAATACGATGTTAGTGCGCTAACATACTATACTTTACGTTACGTATATTATAGAATTTCAGGGATAAAAGCGTGTTCTGAATACGGGCCTAAATATGTATGTGGTTTATATTGTGTGTATGTGTATGTGTGTCTGTGTGTGTGTGTTTTTATGATTGACATGTAAAATTATAAGCAGAATACCATTCTAAATTCTGATATGAATTGAAAATCGTTTAAAATGGGCTTTAATTTGAAATTTAAATTTGAAAGTCAAAATATAGAAGAGTGCAATTGTGGAGAAATTATTTTGAGTGTCAAAAATGAAAATAAATTATAATAAATTATAACTCAATGTTACTTTTAAATAAAACTAAAGTGTAACTAAAAGTTTTATGGCATAATATATTATATATACTTTACTCTTTTACTTCATACTTTATATAAAATTGTCTGAGAAAATTTAAAAAAGATATATTGGGTCATATGACCCAATATATTGGGTCATCTAAAAAGTATCCGCGGTATTTTGTCACTAGATATATGACCATCAACACACATCTAGTGACAAAAAACCGCGGATACTTTTTAGATGACCCAATATTTCATTTCTGATGTTATTAATCATAAGCACAAAGTTAGATAAAATATATGAAAATAAGATTATCTTATAAATGTAAAAGTATTATGTATATGTGAAATACTTGAAATATCTTTCAATGAAACTCAAAGATATAATTTTACATCCATTTTATTTTTTAAAGTATAATTTTACATCCATTTTATTTTGAATATAAACAATGCAATATGTGGCAATTATGATAAATAGATTTAAAAATCATACATGGTCATGTTTAGATTTAGAGGCCTATTCTTTAATTCTTAATGATTATAACGGTATCGTTATATTGATTACGCCGAAGTTATATGATCGATTTGTTTAACATTTAATATTAAACAAGGACAGATGATGAATCCGAGGCATCGAAGGTTCCGAGCGACGGTTCCGAACGCAGCTATTAATGTTAAACATAGAATTTGTAATAATGGAAGGGAAATAGCCTATCCAACCAATGAGTGAAAAGTGTGAGCAAGACTGAGAGACAGAAGATGTACATTTCTGTCCTGCTCAGTAACTTTTCCTTTTTCGATAGAAGAGGATAGAAAGATATATTTCTGTCCTGCTCAGTAACTTTTCTTCTTTCTGCGCATGTGCCAAAAGAGGATAGAAGAAGACAGAAATACATCTTCGACAGCTCGACATCCGTATTCCCCTTCCATTACTATAAATTCTGATGTTAAACAAGGACAAGATTACAAAATAAGAGAGGAGATCCAACTCGATAGCGCGCAAGTCAAAAAAGTGATCCTGATTTGTAATTGAGAATCTGCTGAACGGAATGGATTTTTACGTTTAGATGCCAGTTGTAAAGCAGTGTCATTAGGTACATGTTACGTCACTGATCGCTGCATTTGTTGCCGATTTGTGATTATAAATCCAGATAAACTAAAAAAGTATTTCAAAAAAGAATTCTCTAATAATTATGTGAATCATATTATAACGTATATTTTGAGATATATTTTATGATATATAAGGTGTAGTAACAAGATATCCATTATTTTTGCATGAAATTGAAGGCTTTATTTAGTATAGTTAGAATGATCTGATTTAGGTCAAACATGCACCATTTTGTTCGATAACTTGTTGCCATTTTGAAGGTAATTCCATTATGCCTCTCTCATAGAAACCCTCGTCTCTATTGGCAAAAAACTGGGACAGTCGATTTTCACAAGCTTCTCTTGAGGCGAATTTTTCATCAGCAAAATCATTCGCCATAGACAAGAACAGGTGGTAATCACTTGGAGCCAGGTCCGAACTATAAGGTGGATGCATAAGAACCTCCCAACTCCCGGAGCTTCTGGCGAGTCACTATCGATGTGTGTGGCCTTGCGTTGTCCTGATGAAACACAATTCCTCTCCTATTGGCCAACGCTGACCGCTTCTGGGCGATTGCTTCCTTCAGACGGTCCAATTGTTGACAGTACAGGTCCGAATTAAGAGTTTAGCCGTAGGGGAGCAGCTCTTGTACATGATTCCCTGCCAATCCCACCAAACACACAGCAAAACCTTCCTGATCGTCAATCCTGGCTTGGTCACCGTTTGCGCCGGCTTGCGCCGCAATTCGACCACGATCGTTTTCGCTTGACGTTGTCATAAGTGACCCACTTTTCATCACCAGTCATCATCCGCTTCAGAAATGGATTGATTTTGTTGCGATTTAGCAGCGATTCGCAGATGGAAATTCGGTCCGTGAGATTTTTTTGCATTAACTCGTGTGGCACCCACACATTGAGCTTCTTTTTGTATTCAGCTTTATTCAAGTGGTTCCAAACGGTTTTTTGTGTAATGTTTAGCTCCTGGACAATCGAAACAGTGCTTACATGACGATCGGACTCGACGATTTCCATTATTTTCGACAATTGGCCTTCCAGAGCGTGGTGCATCTTTGACATCAAAATTACCGGAACGGAATCGACGAAACCAAAATTGCGCGTGATTTGCTGTTACAGTATCAGGACCATAAACACATTCACATTTTCAACCGCCTGGCTTGCGTTTTCGCCTTTATCGAAGAAAAACTGTAAAATATGGCGTATTTTCTCTTTGCTAGTATCCATCTTTGATGCGCGCTCAAACAATATTGAGTCAAGCAATCACAAAACTATCTGAGAAGTTTTTTTAGTACGAAATCTTATCTTTCTAACGCCATCTAGCGTAACCCGATCGCACTTATACAATGCGAGATACAGATTACTAAAGCCATCTATTGGAAAAATAATGGATTTCTTTTTACTACACCTTATAAATATTAATGCTAAACAAAATAATAAATGTATAGATAACGAAGGACTGTCGACTAAGCACTGTCACAGTATAAGTACATACAGTATGGACACTGAGCGTTGACATCTTTGATATAGTGGGTCCCAGATCACATGACTCGCCGCCATATTGTGGGTTGGAAAGATGCTTATAAA